GCAGGGCTGATAATCCTGTTCTGGATTTCGGTGCATCAGAGGCAGCATGGTCAGTTTAAACTGGAAGTTAGCAGCGCAGTGGATTTCTGGCAGATCTAAAAGGTATTTTCCGATCCTTGAAGCATTTGTAAAGGGATAAAACATGGGGAAAGATTGCAGAGAGGAACTGACGGACTTTGTTTTTGTATTTGCCCATAACAGCTGAGATAAGGCATCAGCCACAAGTAATGCTTTGTTTTCAATGAGTCCGCAATGGGCAGCCTCTGTATGATTCTCAAGCTTCCTTTGAAAGAGAGAGGAGATGAGAGCAGAGAAAGCAAACACTTCCTGAAAATAGGCAAATTATGTCATCAATGTGATACTACTACTGAAACCTACAGGGATAGGAGTAGCAGAGCAGTTTACACTACAATTAAATAGCTCAGTAATTACAGTTTTCCAAACAACAGTCTATAAGTAAAAATACAATTTATTGAGGGGGTTGCCTGAGAAATTGCATCAACAATCTGATGAAGAGGTAGCACGTACCCTGCTTTTCCACAACCTATTTTAATCAAATTGCTGTATGCAATGTATGCATTTCATAGGCTAATTTTTGTGTAGAATTTCAAACACTACTGAACACTTTTTAATCAAATTGCTGTATGCAATGTATGCATTTTATAGGCTAATTTTTGTGTAGAATTTCAAACACTACTGAAAACTTAGGCTTAATGTTGTGGACATAGCACATCATGAATCATTACTAGTGGTCACCATTTTCAAAAGAAATGCTGCACATCACACAATTTTGGGCTAAATCTACTCATTTGGAATAGGAAAGGAATGAGGGTATAGAGAGCAGCAGATAAATGCACACCTGTAGCTTTTTAATATTAAAAAAAAAAAAGTACATGAAGCAAATGCATGCCACCATTCTAAAAAGGTGCCAATACACCTGCCGATAATCGTACGATAATGGCGGGTGATCCCGCGACCATACGATAATCGACAGGTGTATGGGCCGTGTAAAACCGCATCTACTGTACGGTCGCATGACTTTCGTCTTCTTAGCACGCTCGAAAACTGGCACAGTCGGGTTGGTAGCGTCCTCGGAAGACAAATGCCGCAAGCGCACACTGACCGCTCAGCACTGCAATCATCGGAAGCCCTCCCCTCAGCGGGGAGGACTTGCAATGATCGCAAGTACGATCTGCCTGTCCAAGATGGGCAGGTCGTACAAAATTTTAATCACCTTACAACCATCGCACAACGAAAGTCGTGTGATGGTTGTAAGGTGTATGGGCAGCTCAAGGCTTCTTTCAGACATTTATTTAGAAAATAAAGGAGTTTCAAAAAGAGAAATTCCAGGGCAGTGGTAGGCATTCTAGGAGGGCGGCTATCCCTGTGCCTTAGAGATATCACACCTAAATGGCTGCATTTAGAACTGTTGGAGCAAAATGCTGAACACACTATAGCATGAATGATGACGTATAATACGTTAAAAATAGAGCTGGCACCTAAATATTGAGTTTTTTTCTAGCTATTGTCAAAGGAACTGGCTGCTAAAAATGTGCAGCTGGCTCCAAGATTGGACAGACTGGCTGCTGAAATCTATATTAATTTGTTCACCCCTGCCCTAAAGAAATTCGAGGATGTTCTAAACATGAAATGCACAGGAATATAAGGCCTCATATGAACACGTGTGCAGGAGGCAGTAGAATGTTACATGAGGGCATATTTCCATGCCCATGACTACCAGCTGCAGCAACCCATAGTAATGAATGGGTCAAGGCGGCTGTATGTGCGATTACACCTCTACGTGCGTAAACCCTCGTATGCACATGGGTGTACAACCCAGCACGCAGCTAGTTTGCGCCCAGGAGTTTACGCAAATAGCGTAAACCTACATACAGCCGCATACACCGATTCACTACTATGGGTGGCTGTACGTCACAGCAAGTTATCCCGGGAGCGGAAATACATAGGCAATTTACATTCTACGGCCTTATGTGCCAGTGTGCATGAGGCCTTAAGATATTTAGCAACAAAATTCAAAAGAGACATTCTGCTAATGGTTAGAAAAAGAAAAACATATACCACCATCTGTTAGTACAACGTCCTATTACGGCAGGGAAAATGCTGTGATGAACACGGACAGATGCAGAAACTCAAGTATAAAAAAACAAAAAAGGTACCGCCAATGAGTATCATAGAATAGGAGTGTATCGCTGTACTTCAATCCTGTTGTGGCTAGGTGAGCTATCCATCCACAGAAAGCCTTGTAATTTCACAGAATACAAGGTGTCCTGTGAATGGATGGGGGGAGAGGGTATAGATGACACTAGTGTGTGCCACAGCTCTCTGAGCAGCAGTGAGACAGAAGTACAGCAATAGATGTAACGGCTGGCATTAATGAAAGTTTTACACTACAAAGCAAAGATCAGAATATGTTATAATTAGGGTTGCACAGATACCAAGTACAGTACTCGGTACAAGTACGAGTACATGTACCGATACTTTTGAGCTCCAAGACTACACTAGATAAAAATTCAGAAGTTAGGAGTCAGCTGTCATTTGTAAGGAGCACACGGAGCTCCTGGGATTTGTACATCTCTGTTTTAATGTATGATTTTGTTTTTATAAATATAAATAAAGGGATGCACAGATACCAGTTTTGCGAGTACGAGTACTGGTACTTGCCGAGTACTTACAAGTACGAGTACTGATACATTTTTGTTTGTCATGTGACAGTTTTTCTAAAACAATACAGACTGATGATTTCCGGACAGTGGTGGAGCGACAGAGCCAGGTCCCAGCTGCACCCGCTGCAACCCTGGTAGTTCTCATGAAAATGCCAAGTATCTGCACTGGTACTCGAAAAGTATCTGTGCATCCCTAGTTATAATCATTAGAGGTAACTTTATTTATTTTTTTAAACACACCTTAAGGCTCCATATACATATGGTGCTTGCGTTTTCTGCGTGGTTTTCTGTGCAGTAGACTGCGCGGCAGGTAAACGCTAAAATCTATCATACGCACGGATTCCGTTCGTTTGCGGCAAATACCATCTTTAGAGCGGCTCCGCGTGTATGCGTACGGCCGAGTACGCGCGGACAGCCGCTCCTGTGTGAATGGAGACTAAGTCACAAAAACCTCGCTGCCTGGAGTTTCACTTGCAGTAGCTGAATCTATCTTGGCATCAGGCTGTAGTATTCCTTTATAGTAGTGCCTAGACTAGAGAGGGGAAGGGCAGGACCCTCCTATGCAGTCCAGGAACATACTAACAGGACAGGGCAGAGCTGCTTCTGCTCTTCCACTGTCCATTCACAGGCTGGGGGTAGGGAGATGACCAGTTTATTGTAGGAAAGTCATATCTGCAGTAACTAAAGGCTTGGAAATAGTGTAACATTTATACAAGTTTCTCCTCAAGCTATGATCAATTCCAACCCAATGACAGCTATACGTGTGTGCCAAAAGGGTCTGTTCTACATTTTCCTAATATAAGCCAAAGTATTCCATTACACTAGATGGTAAATAACTACAGTGTGGTTAGTTGGGTCAATATACAGGAATGCTAAATAAAATATTCACAAGGGGGGGGGGGATTTATCAAAAATGGAGTAGGCAAAATCTAGAGCAGCAGTGCACAGCAACCAACCAATCAGCTTCTCTCAAGTTTGTTCAGTTAAGATTTGAAAATGAAAGAGAGAAGCGGATTGGTTGCCATGCACAGCTGCTCCAGAATTTATCTGCTCCAGTTTTGATAAATTCCCCCCCTCTGTACTTAAAACGAGCAGTACTACCTAATGCCATGTAATATACCAAAGTAACATCCAGAGGTTAAGTGTAAAATGACTTAAAGTGACACAAAACTCAGGAGTTAATACTTAAAAATACATTCACGTACCTCAACTATTAACAAAAAAAGGTAATGTACTTGTGTATCAGTTGGCTGCAGATCCTCAAATCATCTCTGAATTTATGCCAACGCTGTCCTTCCTTCTGGAGGGTGGCTACTTTTGTTCCCCGTGGTCCCTGTGTGTGTTGTAAAGTAGCCACCGCTCCAAGATCACTCCCGTGATGGACTACAGTTTCATTATAAATTGGTAAACAAAACATGAGATTGTAGTCCATCGCAGGAGTGAGCTTGGAGCGGTGACTACTTTACAACACACACAGGGACAATGGGGAACAAAAGTAGTCACCCTCCAGAAGGAAGGACAGTGTCAGCACCAATTCAGAGATGATTTGAGGATCCACAGCCGAGTGATATACAAATAAGTTCCAGTATTGTTAATAGTTAGGGTTCTTGAATGCATTTTTAAGATTTCATTCCTGAGCTTAGTGTCACTTTAAATAAGGGCTGGACAAATCCCAGGAGCCAGGAAGCCAATGCTCCTTAAAACTTACAGCTGGCCCAAACTTCTTCAGTTGTAGTCAATGAAGCTAGCTCCTAAAAAATCCTGCTGGCTCCTGGAAAGGACAGAAAATGTGAAAAGTTGGGAGTTAGCTGTCATATTTAAGGAGTATTGACTACTTGACTCTGTGAAAATTGTCTGGCCCTGATATAATACCTCTGATAAAGATTTTGCTTTAAACAACCTGTTCTGAGAGAGCAGGATAGAAAAATTCTCAAACAAATGAAATTCTAACTGTAAATGTTTTTGTTGAGAAAGTTTGAACAACGTTGGTAAAGTCTCTGATAGCATTATCGAATGTTCTGACAAGATTCTAACAAGCGTTCGTACAAAAGTCTTATTAGTCACAGGGTATCTTTATCATGGACTCTCTTCAGTCACACACAATTAGTCATGAAAGTGACAAAGATAGTGACAATGGAACCCCACGGAGACAACACAAACGAACTCTGGAAGAGTTTTGGACACTATATATTTCTGCATTTTTTCCACTCCTTATTTTGCTTCAAGACATAATAGTGAACTTAGACGTATACGAGTTACCACTTATATTAAATGAATAATGTAGGACATAGCAATCAATAAAGCATGCATGCTTACCATCTCTGACTTGACTTTCTTTAATCCACGATTTTCTAGTTCAGGATCCTCATTCTCTGTTTTGATAACACTCAATGTACTTCCACTGTCCGTGGCAATGCCCCCACCCAGCTGCTCTACTGCAGTCCCCATAGCTTCTTGCACTGTAGTTCCTCGACCCCCCACTCCAGGGGCTGTCTGCAAAACTCCAAGAGGCTCTTTCTCGCCACTTGCCAGAGGTACCTCATTCTTGTCCTTTTTGGCCTTGCCACTTTCCTTTTTAGAGCTAGAAGAGCTCCTGGCAGCCTTGCCAGATTTTTCTCCTGCTTTTGTAGGAGTTACTGTGGAAGAGGGAACTCCTGAGCTGCCCCCACCATCTGCTGAACGTCCCGACACTTCCTTTTTACTTGCATCCCCTGCTGAGAAGAGTCCAGAGGAAGCCTGACTGCTTCGTCCTCCATCTTTGCTACTTTTATTCCTCTTTGATTTTGACTTTGATTCCTTGCTTTGGCCACTGGGCACAGGTGTCACAAACTTAATGTTATCAGGTAGAGTGGCCACTGCGTTGGGGGCTGGCATGCCCACGTCTTTAGATCCTGACATCTCAAGCTTCTGCTGGTCTTTTTCTAAATCAGCATCCAAGTCAATAATCAGATTGCCCACACCGATGTCCCATTCATCACCACTATCATAGGTCTCCACGGGATTTGTGTCCAGACCTTTCCCTCCTGGTGCGCCACTGCTCAAGGACATCTTAAGTGTACACACTCTCCTGAGGCCTTATAGTGTTCCAGGGGGTGATGCCTGCCTCCCTCCTCTCCAGCCTGGACCTGGTACAACACTTTTACCAAAGGCAGGAACAGAATGGCAGGATGCTTAGACTATACATGTAAAGAGGGCGGCTGAAGATGCAGCATTGTCACTGTAGATAGAAAGGAGATACAAGTTTAATGCACATTCATTATTACTTGGGGGAAAAGTAAGCGACTTTTTTTTTTATAAGCTCATTAATGTTATGATCACATTTTAAAACCGAGAATCAAATGCATCCCTGCAAAACAAAAACAAAACAGGGTTATAAAACTTTCCCCCTCCTGTGGTTCCACTCTCTGCCGTTTTCATGAAATGCATCAACATTTACAAAAGATCACAAAGCAAATGTAAAACCAGCTGGTAACATAGCATGTTCATTCCACCTACCTATACAATCAAACTGAACCTGAAAACTTCCAAGACCTTAGTCTTCTACAGTATAGGATTTTGCATTTGCAACTTCCGAGATCTAATTCAACAGGCCAATGCATTGGATTAATATATATATTGAACCACAGAGCATATTTGTTTAGGGCAGGGGTAGGCAAACTTCAGCCCTGCAGCTGTGGTGCAACAACAAATCCCATTATGCATTGCAAGACTGACAGCTACACCCACGACTCCCAGAGGTTGATGCATCAGGGGTGTGGAATTCCCGATGCCTGGGCCATGTAGTTTCAGGCGGGTAGTACTTGTCTACATTCAGCCCTGCTTCAGGCAAGCAGCAGGGCTAAACGTAGAGGGGGGGAGCAGTTTTGTACAAGTGATCTTAAGCGGCTGTACAGATGCTCAAGATCACGTGTAAGCAGCCTGATTGTCACTCCCCCTTGCCAAACACCGCCTTTCTCCACGCCCATCACCCCCCGCCAGCTCCCTCCCTGTTGTGGTTTTCAGGGGTTCCCCACTTTTCTGGGGGACCGGTGGTCACAGCAAATGAATTCAGGATGAAGAGCAGGGGCTTGTTAGATCCTAGGTGATAGCAATAAAGTGAAAAGAAAACAAAAGTGTGAAAAATAAAAAATCATAATTAACCACTTGAAGTGCGCGGTGTTAAACCCCCTTCCTGGCCAGACCATTTTTCCGTAATCAGCGCTGCGGTACTTTGACTGACGTTTATTCCGTCATGCAACGCTGCACTGAAATGAATTTTATACCATTTTTTGTGGACAGATAGAGCTTTCTTTTGGTGGTATTTAATCAACACTGGGGGTTTTATTTTTTAGTATATTAAGGAAAAATTACCGACATTTAAAAAAAAACTGTTTCACCTATATTAAATGATAAAACATTTATTATTACCCAATTTTTTGGTAAAATATAAAAGACGGGGCCACGTCGGGTCAAAAAACACCAAACATGTCAAGCCTTAAAATTACGTGCGCGCGCGAAACCTCAAAAAAATACAATACCCAAAATTGGCCATAGGCGACGCTTTAAAAGCTTTTACCGCTCATCAGTTTAGTGTTATCAGTGATTGATGGCCCTATAATGATTGCTCTCACTCCAACGTTCGCGACGATATGTAACACTTGCAGCGCAATTGTCATTTTCGCACGCTGCCGCATCGAACGCGTATTTACGTTTATATGTGCGTAAATGTGGGGGTGGAGGACTTAAAAATTTGGGGGTTTAAAAAAAAAAAAAACTTTTATATGTGATTATTTTATTTTTTTGCGCTTATTGTTATTGCTATCACATAGAGGATAACAATCCCCCTATATAATAGAAAATACACACTGACAGGTCCTCTTTATGGAGACATTAGGTGGTCTCCAAGACCCCTGTCACCTGGGGACTCCCCAAAGAAGCTGATAAAGCAGAGATCTGCTTCATCAGCTTCTTCTCTCTGGCTATAGCAGCCAGATGACTGACAGGTGAATGCGGAAGTGGTGTAATACTCATCACTTCTGCATTCAGACCTCAGAGGGAGATCAGCAAGGAGGAAGAAGATGCTCATCTCCCTCCCATCTTCCTCCTGACACCCTCCCGAGCCGCAGATGGGCTAGCAGATCCCGGGATTGAAGGTGGGGGGTCAGGAGTGGGCGGCACTCGAGGGGGGGTTGCAAAGACAGCACATACATACGATCGGCAGGCTATAGAGCCACCGATCGTATGTATATGAAACAGCCGGTAACGGCTGTGCAGAGTGGGTGTGTTTTTTCGCTAGGGGGCGCGCGCGAGCAGAAAAAAAAAAGCCGTCTGCTAATGTGCGTCTGCCGTCCGTACGTTTTTTCTCAACGGGCGGATGGCAGGAGGTTGAAAAAATATGAATAAAAATTTAGAAAATAAAATAAAAAAAATTACAATTAAAAAAACTAAAAAATTACGTAAATAATTACAAAAGTTAATAAAAATTAAATAAATAAAAAATAAAAAAAAAACAACCACACCTGCATGCGAATAAATGCATGCGTAGGGCATTGTGTGTGCTGAGTGCTGCCCCCATTCCACTGCCATATTGTGGTAGCCGGGCAGCAGCACTCTCTAACACACACAACGTGCATTAAAGGGGGAATTGACTTTCACAATTTGGGAAAATGGAATTACCCTTTAAAATCTGGACCTCCCTCCCCCACCTCCGCTATACAGGTGAAACTCGAATAATTAGAATATCATGCAAAAGTAATTGCAGTAAGAGCTGCAAAAGGGGCCCAAACCAAGTACTGAGTACATATGCATGCTTGTACTTTTCAGAGGTCCGATATTGTTCTATGTACAATCCTTGCTTTATTGATTGCATGTAATATTCTACTTTTTTGAGGTTGTGGATTTGGGGTTCTTGGGGTTTTCATGAGCTGTAAGCCATAATCATCACAATTATGACAAATCACGGCTTGAATGATCTTGCTTTGCATGTAATGAGTCTATCTCATATATTAGTTTCACCTTTTAAGTTGCATTAGTGAAATAAATGAACTTTGCACGATATTCTAATTATTCGAGTTTCACCTGTACATATCAGCTAACAGTCCTTGCCGTCCCTGTGCCATGTATTCTGAAGTTCGCTCGCAAATTAGCACTGTTAAATAAAGTTTTGGTTAAAATTATTTTTCGTATAATGACAAGTACGTATATAGTCATGAGGGACAAGTAGATTGGGCCACCACTTTAGTCCTTGGAGAAGTAGTTTCTTTTTTTCTTTCAAATTTCCACACCCCTGTGAATGATGGGATTTGTAGTTTCCGAACAGCTGGAGGGCTTTTGTTTGTCTACCCCAGGTTTATGGTTACTAAAAAGTTGAAACCCACAGCCCAAATATTTCCCATACCTCACTTCCCTTGTGCTGAGCTTGTCGCTGCAAATTTTCTTTTTTACCCATTACAAGAGGAATGATTTGAACGGATTCATACATCACTTCCAGTTAATGTACATGCAACGTGCAAGGTTTAGCTCCAGTGATTCCTCAGCCCCTGGACTGGATCTAGAAAGTAGGAGTTAGGGGTGCAGACATTGACAGGGAAATTGACAGGGGAGCAGAGAACTCTTCTGTCCTTGCCAATATGTACTTACACCTTTTTTTTTGTTGCATCTGCAAAATGAAGAAAAGCAAACAGCTGACCCCTTTCACTTTGCAGATGTGTCTGATGTGCATGCAAAGCATGATGTGCATGCAAAGCAAAAAGACTCAGATATCAGCTGTATGTGCTGTATGAAAACCTGGGTAGGGAGAAAGTCCTGGCTTGTCTACATATCTGTCATTGTACAGGCTCTCTGTATTTAGAAGCTGGAGAACACCGACCATAGCAGCAGAGAGGCTGCCTAGCTTTTTATTTTTCCAAGACCGGTACAGTTGATGATTTACAATTCCCTGTTAGTATCCTGCACTTTAGGCTGGGTACACACCATTTTCCAGACCAGACCTGGAACATAGTGCATTGCATTTTTGCCGTGATTTGAATTTTAAAAAAAGTGTCTTACAGGTGCGTTTTTGATGCGTTCCAGTGCAAAATATGACATGCAGTATTTTTCTGGTCTGGTCCGGAACATGGGAACAGAGGCCAGAAATAGCATAGGGATACATTGGGGTCCAGAAACAGTCTGGTCTGGAGGTAATCTGGATGTGGTGTGAAAGGCCCTTAGACAATTAGGAGCTGCAGGACACAGGACAGTGATAGGCAGAATTAGAACAGACACAAGCCCCTCACAGCTGATTTATACCTACTTGCCTGTCAGTGTCCTTAGCTCCTAGGCAATTAGGAGCTGCATCAAACAGATCAGCCTAAAGGTGCCCATACACTGCTCGATTCTCGTACGAGAACCGCGGGAAATCCTGCGATCATCAAGCAGTGTGAACGAAGGCGTGCGACCGTTTCTACTGTACGGTCGCACGTCTTTTGTCTAAGGAGCATGCTAGAAAACCCACCAAAAATCGTACGATTTTCGGCTGGTTTGAACGGTGCTCGGGAGACAAATGCCGAACGGGCCGGTGTGCGCACGCGCACACTGCCCGTTCAGCATTGCGGTCATCGGAAGCCCGCCCCTCAGGGGGGCGGGCTTGCGATGATCCAGAATACGATCAGACCGTCCAAGATGGGCAGATCGTACGTTTTTTAAATTACTTTACAACCATCGCAAGACTAAGGTCTTGCGAAGGTTGTACAGTGTATGGCCACCTTTACATGGACAGCAGGCAGAAGGATAGAAAAGATGCCGTTAAAGCAGCTTCTTGTTTACACTTCTCACTGCAAGTGTTCTGAGCTGCAATTAAGAGTTGCGGGACATAAATCGGCAGCGGAAGGCCGAGCTGGGAGGGAAGAGGCAGGGTTGTGGGAGAAGAAACCCCGACCTCCATCCTAAAACTTGCAGACTTTGCTGGCAGGGTGACATCAATGCTTATTGCTAGTGCATAGACAGCCACTGTGAATGACAGGTCACCTGAACAGCAACTACCGTGTTGGGGCATAGTACTGACAAGGGATGCAAAAATCTGAAGAGGTATATCTCTGGCATGGTACTGGTAAGGGATGTGAAGATATGGAGAGGTATATCTCTGGCATGGTACTGGCTAGGGATGTGAAGATATGAAGAGGCATATCTCTGGCATGGTACTGGTAAGGGATGTGAAGATATGAAGAGGTATATCTCTGGCATGGTACTGGCAAGGGATGT